TCTAGGAAGGAAAGGGGTTTCTCCAGGAGTCTGGATGGGAGGGGTCAAATGGAGATGTCATCAAATAACATATTTCTTTTACTGGAAACATGTGACTACCTTGACTTGAAGTGTTCTCTCTTTCTCTTTTAAAATATTTTATTATTTTTATTTTATGTGTATGAGTGTATTGCCTGCATGTATATAAGTGCACCTGTGTCACACAATGCCCACAGAGGCCAGAAAAGAATGTCGAATCTCCAGGAATTGGAGTTATAGAAAGTTATTAGCCACCATGTGGGTGCTGGAAACTGAACCGCAGTCCTTTGCAAGAGTAGCTAGTGCTCTTAGCCACCAAGCCATCTTTCCAGCCTACTTCTTGCTTTATTTTTAACAAACAAAGCTTAGTCAAAAGGACTCCAGTCCTGTTAAGCATTTGAACATAACCTTGAGCTAAGCATGCCCCAATGTGTGCACAACATCTTTTTTTTGAATTATGACTGTAAATTGAGCATACTCAGAATGTATTCCCTAACTGAGCATGCTCAGAACATGGCCACCCAAAAAGTACTTTCCTATGTAAATATTTATCAGACTCCAGAATAGAATCCCAGTGCTTCCTTTGTTTGAGGAGGACATTGCTTTGGAAATAACTCCTGAGTTCTTCTTACCTGTAGCAGGTGATGAACCCTTCTCCAAGCATTTTTTCCATGCTTGTTTTGAGCTCATAACATTGCAAACCCATTGTGTTTAGTTACATTTGCATTTATGCCCATCTGAAATCAATATAGCTTCATTTTAACTTACTTCACATTAGAAGTGGACACGAGTTATTGCAGGGGCATTATTCAATCCGTGACCTGCTTTTGACTTTCTTATTACTACATAATGCTCTATCTTTTGTTTATTGAATAACTATCCATTGGCTTTGTGTGAACATGCTTATCATAGAATAAGATCCCAACCAGTATTTGTTGAATATTTAAAATGAATAGTCTTGTGATAGCCTGAGCTCCTCCATTTTGTGTAAGACCCCCATTATGGTGAGCTGTCCCAGACCCTACCCTGGCCCAGCCCGGGGCCAGCAGTTCCAGGAAAAGCTGACTCCAGAGGAACACACCTATATAATCCTGGGAGGCTTCAGTCAAGACTTATCTGACTTTGTGAATGCTTGCTTATCTGGCTTTTGTGACTGCTCATCTGGCTTCTGTAACTGCTTGCTTGCCTACCTACAAGAACAAACACATGGCTGCTTGTTTTTTGAGTAAATTACTTGTTTTTGAGCACATCTAGTACCAATCGATCAGGATATGGATTTTACCTTTAAAGGCTTTACTTTCAGGGCTGGAGAGATGGCTCAGTGGTTAAGAACACTGACTGTTCTTGCAGAAGACCGGGGTTCAAATCCCAGCACCCACATGGCAGCTAACAACTGTCCATAACTCCAGTTCCAGGAGATCTGACAGCCTCTTCTGTCCTTCTTGGGCTTTGCACAGCATGGGTGCACTTACCAACATGTAGGCAATTCATGCATACACATACATAAAATAAAAATAATAAATTTTTTTTTAAACAAGCTTTACTTTCCCCTGAGCAAGAGCTTCATTCTCTTAATTGGCTCAGAGAGTGCAGTCGCTGGATAGCTAAATAAATTAGGGTAATTCAGAACATCTGGAGTCTGAGTGGTCTTTCCAGGGTCTCTATACCATAACAGCCTTAACACAAATAGTAGTTTTCACATAGCTAATGCATCAAGTTCTTTTGCAGCATTGTGTAGGAAATGTGGCTATGCACACAAATAAGAGTAGGCAAAATTGAAATTAGGCAGAGAATTGGGTTTTCTCAGCAGTCTCAAAAGTTAACCGTTTTCCCACAGGGTGCCTTTGTTTATCACTTTTAATTTTTTTTGAGACAAAGTCTCATTATGTAGCTCTAGCTGGCTGGGAACTAGCTAGTAGATTAGGCTGCCCTTAAGCTTACAGAGCTCTGCCTGCATCTGCCTCCAAGTGCTGAGATGAAAGATGTGTGCCCTCATAAGTGTTGTACCTGCCTCAAATCCTATGACTTCTTCCCATTCACCAAAGCTTTCTACATTCAAATTCCCCTCTTGTTCTCGCTCTCTCTCTCTCTCTCTCCCTCTCTCTCCCTCTCTCTCTCTCTCTCCCCCTCTCTTTCTCTCCATCTCTCTCCTGCTCCTCTACCCCTTTGTATGCATGTGTGTGTGGGGGGAGTTGTATGGATGTACATGTTGGGTCAGAGGTCAACCTCAGTATCTTTCCTTATTTTTAATTTGAGACAGAGTCTCTCACAAGGGTATCCATAGCTCACTGATTTGGGTAGTCTCACTAGCCAGTGAACCCCAGGGATTCTCCTGCCTCCACCTCCCCGGTGCTGGGAGGGATTTCAAATGTGTGTCACTATACTTGGCTTTTTATGTGGATGCTGGGGATTGGACTCAGGTCCCCACATATATGCAACAAGCACTTTACCAATGACCCAACTCCCCAGCCCTTCAAATTGTTTATGTCTTCAGAGCCCTTGCAGCTCCTCTAGCTGGGACCTGTTTGTATCCCTATGGCATTTGTGGCTGGTGCTAGAGCACATGCATTGCTTGTAACCTCCATGTATTTATTGATACCTGCTCATCTTTCTCCCTGAATAATTTCAGATTGCCTCTTAATCCCTGATATGGTTCAGTTTCATTGTAATATGTGTGAAGGATATATTTGTATATCTTACTTAGTTCTCAGCATCCACTTTCAACCTGAAAACTAGTGTGTGTGTGTGTGTGTGTGTGTGTGTGTGTGTGTGTGGTTTTCAGCCTGGCTGGGTTGGAGCCCAGCAGGGTCTTGTGCATTCTAGCTAAGTGCTGTTGAGGTAGAGTAATAAGGCAGAGAGTGAGGTCTAGGAGAACCTTGTCCAAAGGTTGCGAAATTAGCATATGAGAGAAACCAATTGGCAAAGAGGAATGCTGCCCCCCCCCCCGCCCCCAAAGCCTAACCAGTAGACACTGGCTCCAGTGCAGAGGCACTCCAGAGTGCCTGAAAGTGGCCTGTGGCCTCATTAGGATACTAAAATGCATACCCCTGGGTGGAGAATTGTGCTAATGAGACTACAAGATGCATGAATTTGTTTGTAGAACTAGAGCATGCTAGAGGAAGTCTGCTCTACGTGCAGAGGGAAGGCCATTAATAAGCGACTGAAAAATGGAACGAGACAGAGTTAGGGCCAGGAATCCCCAAAAGCTCACAGGTGTGCAGCCTGCCACCTTGTAACTGAAGCCTTTGACCAGGGTGGTCCAGTATTGCTCTTATTTGCTCTGATTTGCATGCCAGAGACTGTACAACCAGGAATTATGTATGCAGCTCATGCTGATTCCTAGAACTGTATGCTGAGCCAATCTGCACTACCCTCCTTTGCATGGCATAAATTGCACTAACACTTCTCCACTATGCCCTCTGTTTTCTTCTTGAACTCCCATAGTGGGACACCTGGTTCTGTCATATTTATTGTACATCTTAGCCTTTCTGTCCTTTCCCTTCTTTTTGTCTCTTTGCTGTTTTCTGGGCAAATTCTCTCTAATATTTTCAATCCACTAGTCCTCCTTGATTTGCCCTGTTTAGAATTCACTTACCCACCTTGTTAAGGTTCAGATAGCCCTGCCCCCTCACCAACAGGGCCTCATGAACCTCACAAGCCCCTGAGAAAAGGGAACCTTTGAAGTCAAGAGAAGCAGACTTTTCTCCACTGTTTGGCCAACACAGCAGGCTTCCCCATTGATCTCTAAAGAGGGCAGGTTTTAACAGTCCTGCTATCCTGCTTCCCCTTGCCTAACTTTTAAAAAAATATATCTTCCTGCCTTCTGCACCCTCCAGAAGCCGCCCCCTTTAAAAGATGCCAGCTCACGACCCAGGCAGACATTTTCCATTCCCGGAAGGGACTCTGTCCCATGTGTTCCTTTGCTAATAAACTCTATTCCGATGGAGTTTTATCTGTGACCTGGTGCTTTCTCCTGATCAACTGGATTCATCCATAGGCTACTTTATCTATCACACCAAGTGACTGTTTTCCTTGTGTAGTATCTGGCATTAATTGTTTTTCATATCCATATTTGGGGGTTTTGAGGGGGAGGGAGAGATTTGAGACAGGGTCTCACTAGGTAGCACGGTACCACTAGGTTAGCCCAGGCTGGCCTCAGACTCACAGTGGAGCTCAGGCTTTGAATTCCTCTTGCCTAAGCATAGCAAAGCTACTAACATACAAAGACCCCACCGAACATGAAATTCAGAAAGGGCCAGTTGGTTGGTATAGACCTTTTTTGTGTGTGTAAAGGAAAAGTGAGAGATTGATGAGGCACTGGAGTAAGTGCTTTTTAGAGGAAAAGAAAGAGCCCAGATTACACAAAATGATCTGAGGCAAAGTACAGGCTTGCTCTTTGGTGGGGAGGGCTATTCACAGAAAGGCCCTCTTCACACTTCAGAAGTGCCTGTAGGAGCCTCCCTTGTTCATGGCATGGCATATTTAGACCCACAGCCCAGCTAAGCTGTACTTCCTGTTGCTTGATGTATATGCTGAGTATGTTGAGTGCCTCTTGTTTTAAAATGTTAAGGAATATGTAGTTGCATTGTTTGGATTTTTTTTTTTTTTTTCGGTCTTTTTGAGGTAGGTCTCCCTTTAGCCCCAGCAGTCCTGGAACTCACTATGTAGACCAGCCTGGCCTTGAACTCACAGAGATCTGACTGCCTCTGCCTCCCAAGTGCTGGGATTAAAGGCGTGCGCCACCATGCCCAACTGAAGTGGAGTTTTAAGAGTGGTTAGTATCTTGATCAGACCTCACAATGATTTAACTTTCTAGAGCATGATACCCCCACAGCCTAGTCCTGCACTGGGCTCAACATGCAGTGTCCTGGGACAAACTCCATACAGAGTGCTACCCATTACCTGGTGTAGACTTTCCCAAATATAACATGGTTAGGGTCAAGGTAAGAAAGACTCAAAAGTTGGCATGCTGGATCACTAACCTTAAGAGGCATATGTGTCCGAATCCTGGGTATCCTCAGCCTTTGGGACCAGGGTTGGGGACTGCGCATACCTGTGGCCCTGACACCAAGAGTTCAAGGTCCAAATCCTACCGGTCAGCAGGGCCAGGGTCAGGTAGTACTCCTGTGTGGACTCTGCTGAGTTAGGTAAGAGCTGCCCTGGGCCCTTTGTGGAGCTGAATAAAAAACATCTTGGATTTTGAACTCGGGGAGCCTGGGACATAAGTGTAGCTCTTGGGTGGGTCAGAGCTTCCCTATCAACTGAGATCTTGGGGAACTCTGTGTGTGATGCTTCATCTTAACCTTTTTGCTCTCTCCTGCATAATGAACCTTATGTCCTCAGGGTCTCCTGGATTCCATTCCTTTGGCATTGTACAGGAGACAGTCTGACTTGATGTGCTGTTGGCTGCCAGAAGCTGGGTATGTGTCCTTTTCTGTGTCATCTGTATTCCCTCAAAGTCCCTCTGTTATGCCCAACACCCTTCTGAAGGGGGAGGATTGTAACTGCTTGAAAGGGCAATTGAGTCACTGGACACTAGGGCATTGTGCATTGGGACAGAAGTCACTTACCTCCTACATACTTCAGTATGTGGAGCGCTAAGACAGGGCAGGGAGATTTTAGAATTCAGGCCTTCAATGGCAGCATTCCCCTGTCAGCTCTCAAACAGTGAGACTAAACAGACCACAGCTTGTCTAGCCTCTGGCATATGAATTACACATTTCTGCCCCGGGCCTCAAAGAGATGGAGGCAGGTGCCAGGATGACAAAGGATGGACCCCTTCTTCTCTGGACACCCCTTTCTCCAAGTCACTTCTGTAGGAACCCAGCTCCTAGCTCCAGGAAAGCCTCAGATGCTGGTATCCCCCTGTTCATCAAGATACAGGTGTGTTCTGTGAGAGAACTAGGTGTGGAGCAGCAGATGACATCTATTCAGAGGTGCAACCAGCCAGAAGGTTACACACACCCCAGGGAGGCAACTGTCAGTCATATACTTTTGAGTCATGGCTTGGGGCACCTCTCACTGAATGGCACTCCTCCTCCTTGGAGGAGGGGGATGGAGACAGGGGAGTGGGGTGACAAGGACAGCTGCTGAACCTGCCCTCCTCACTCTGAACAGGCAGGAGGTGAAGGGACCCTCTCCCCATTACTTTTGGACTGGCAAGTTACTGGCATGAATGACAGAAAAATTTGGTCCTTATGATGCAAGGACTCACAGTTCTCTCAAGATGCTAGTGGGGGATTCTGGGGACAGTGTTTAGCCATCCACCATGCTGAATCTGCTGTGATACAGGAAAATTGGCATTCTTTCATTAGAAGCTGAGTGATGCTTCTAAGATTCTTCCCATGAGCTGGAGCCCTGGAAAGAACAGAGGATTTCACGTTGCTCTCAGTTTGTTCATTAATAGAAGTCTTGTTGTTTTGCAACCTGTTTTTTGTTCATATTACAACCTGTATGAAGGGAAGGCACTGTGCCATTTAATAGTTGTGATTGCCAAACCACTCTGACAGTCCTGTGAGGCAGATACTATGGTTACCTATCTCACAGATGAGTAAAATGAGGCATATGAGGGTTATCTGACCCAACAGCCAGATATGGGGGCTCATGTTGTGCCCAGAGAACAGACCCCCAAGAATAACCATGGAATCCAGAGAGCATGCAAGAACAAAGAGTGTTTATTCGGGCTTAAGCTTGGGCTCTCTGTACTCACCAATGCAATGAATCTGTGCTGAGAACCCCGATCACAGGGGGTGGAAGCACTTTATAGGTTTTAGATAAACGGAGAAGGGGAATAACAGAGTCACACTTTGATTGGCCCGAGGAGCCCGCACACACCAACACACTTTTGAATTGATTGGTTATAAAGGATGCAGTCCTGGGGGCTTCTCATTGGTGGATGCTACCCTCAGAGCTGTGGAATGTGCTGACTGTTATCTGTAGAGCCAGAAGTCTTTGTTTATATCTTATAAGGCTGCTTTATGTCTAGGCTTGTTTGACCTATAGCCTCCTGGGGTGGGGGTGGCAGGTGGAGATTATGACATGCCTGGGCATGTTCAGGCTTGCCTGAAACAGCTATTTAAAATGGGGTCAATATAGTTTGTCCTTTCAATCAAGCAATCAAGCAGTTTACAGAAGCGAAAAAGAGCAGTTAGTCCTAAAGAGGGGCAGGGGTCTCGGGAGCCCAGGGCAGGGGGCCAAGGAGGAGGGCTTCACAGCTCACACAGTAATCCCAGTGCTTGAGAGGCCAAAGCATGAAGATTACTGAGAGTTCCAGGCCAGCCTGGGTTAATAGTGAGACCATGTCTTGGAAAAATCAAAATGAAGACCAAAACCAACCAAATGAATCAACAAAAAGGAAAGAAAAATGAAAAAAAAAGAAAAGAAAAGAAAGTAACCACTCAGGCCACACAGAAATGACTCTACTCCCAGGCTTGTTTCCCAGTTCTCATAGAGGGCTCCCTTCTACCTCGTGCACATAGGTCACTTTTAGGGGTTATGTTGAGACACAGAACCACCTTCAGGAATTAGTGCCCAGGTCAGAAATGCAGTCCCAGCCTCAGGCACTTCGACTGGAAAAAAAAAAAAAAAAAAAAAAAAAAAAAAAAAATCAAGGGTGCAAGATTAAAAGGCATCACTGAGAGTTACTTTTCTTCTTCACAACATACAATGCACTGTTCCAAAACATGAACGCCTTTATGATGATAAAGATGGCGTTTCCTAAATGCTAAAAGTCAGATGACAGTAGAAGAGCACAGGGTAAACCATTCACCGTTACCTAAATTCTTTGCTTATTTGGAGTTAGAGACAATTTACACTTGAGGTTATAATCATCAAATAAAGCAGAAACTTTAAAAAATTAAGTTACTAATAAACACCTATAGAATTAAAATTTTAATTATCAATTTATTATTATTATTTGTGTGCATGGTGCTTGTATGTGGGCACCCATGCCAGGGTGCATGTGCAGAGGTCAGAGGACAACTTTGCTTCTAAGTTTTTATATCTATACCCATAGATATGGGCTGCTCCTGGCCTTGGTCAGAGAAGTTTCATTTTGCAGTAGACAGCAGCCAATGGAGAGATGCATAACTGGTCTATGTGCCAAGAAGAGGCCTAGTGCTCAGCCAAAATCAGACATGTATATTCTACCATTTTTCTTTTGAGACAGGGTATCTCTGTAACTCCAGCTAGCCTGGCGCTATGTAGACGAGGCTGGCCTCAATCTCACAGAGATCTGCCTGCCTCTGCCTCCTGAGTGTACCATCAGCCTCCTTCCACTTTTATGTGGGTTCCAGGAATTGAACTCAGGCTGTGAGGCTTGAGCAACAAACGTATTTTCCTGCTGATCTATCTTGCCAGCCCAACATTTAAGGGTTTTCAAGAAAATTGCCTGGTTTCTTTAATCACTAAATACCCTTTGTTCCAACATGAGAGAGGGCAGAATTCAAGAATAGCAAAGATTTAAGAGAGATACACAGTATAAATGTGTAGACCTTATATGGATTCTGATTCTCAAAATATTCTCAGGGGCCAGTGTGAGTAGGCTGGTCAAGGCTGCATGTAGGCTGTGTGTGCTGATATGAAGGAATTACTGCAGTTTTATAGTGTGATGCTATCATTGATATGGACACATCTTCATGCTCTGTATGGAATAACCTACAGATGAATTCTGCCATGCTTACATCTCACTTTAGAACTGCCTGGGAGTTGGAACAGGAACTGGAAGAAGGGCTTTCATTGAAACAAGAGGAGCCAAGAGTTCTTACCTGTTGAAACTGGGTCACAGGCAGCGGAGACTTGCATTCATTTGTTTACCTTTGGGTACACTTTTCCATTAGAACAAGAGAGAAAGGCTATAGACTGCTTGAGCCTTAGCAAGCAGAGCCCTGGGCCAGCTTGAGCCTGTGGCTGCCATATCTGAGGTCCAACTGCTGACCCCAGATGCCACTAGACAGTCAGGAGCAGGTGACAAGCAGCCAGCCTCCTCTATGGGGCAATTTTGTAGGTAGAATAGTTGCCTGACTTGCCTGGCTGTAGGAGACCAGGGCTAGCAGAGGAAAGGGTGCCCATCTCCCTGCAGAGAACTGCTTTTCCTGCAAGTGTTGGTGCTAGAGAACAGAGAGCAGTCGAGAGTCACAAAGGAGTCAGACTGATGATCCTGCCTTACACCACAGCCCTGAGCTGGTGCACAGGGAGAGGTGGAGGGAGGAAGTTCACAAGTCAGTACTTGGCTACCTAGAAATCAGGGCCTGGGGGACAGGCTTCACCCATCTGTGGCAAGTTGGAAGTTTATGAGTACAAGAACTAGAGGTGGGTGGAAACGAACAGTGCTTTATTTAGTCAGACATCCCTACTAGAAAGGGAAGGTCTTCTCTGAGAGGAGCAACACTTTGTCTTCTTGTTGACAGTAGTGGCCAGTATTTCTTTCTGGCATTATCTTTCCCTCTTTTAGCTTGAAAGAGGCTGCTTGAGTGAAAGCCAGATCCTGTCTTATGGAGCTAAACAGCAGAATTGTTTCCTTAGAAATAAGCAGGTAACAGAATCAGAATTTTGCTTAGGTTTGGAATATTGGAGCAAGAGACCCACCCTATATAAGCCAAGTCGTGTGGGCACTTTTCTAGCTGAATTTGAAAGAGTTCTTAGGGAATCAGATCAGAATATTTTGAGCGGGAGGTAAGGCAGAATATCTTTATGAAAAACACACATTCCTTAACCAAACAGTACATGAAAAGATGCTCAACACCTTTACCCACCAGGAATATGCAAATCAAGCCACATGAGATATTATTTCATATAGACTAGCATGATTACAATGAAGAGATGCACAGTGTCCAGTGCTGGAGAGGCTGTAGAAAAACTCAAACCCTCATACTGCTGGTGAGATGCAACATGGTGTAGCTGTTTAGAAAACAGTCCAGCAGTGTCTCTGTCTCGAACAACAGACCACGTGACCAAGCAATTCTATCCCTATATCTACGCACTTGAGAGATGAAAACATGTCCACACAGAAACTTGTACAGGAACTAAATTTAGAGTGACATTGTTTCTACATTTGTCTTTACTAGTCAA